CTATTTCTAATGTAAATGATGGGATACTCGAGTTTCTAAGCAAGAAGTGAAACATAAGGATTTCGAAATTCATTTTTTTCTAGTAAAGAGCTCTTAAACAACTTTTTGCTTTTGGGGATGTGAATTCTTTTATTAAACGGTTCTAAATTTGGCGACTTTTCAACATTTTGGCCATTTTAAGATTAGTTTCTATAGAAACTTTTTAATTCCAAAATCTGAGAATTTTTTGACGATTTTTTTTTAAAACATTGTAACATTGATAAATTTTATTAAAATATTGGTCATATATGAAATTATATTTAAAAAATAACATTAAAATAAAACATTTTTTATTTTTTGCTGTAATATTTTTAAAGTTTTATTTTGGCAACTTTACAATATTTTAAATCTGAAAAATAAACAAGGTATAATGCTATAATGCACAATTTACGAAACAGCTCTTAGCAAAAGCAAAATTAGCTATGTAATTAATTAAAAATGTCTTGTTTTTAATTTTTTATAGTAAGTTTTTCCTATGTAATTGTCTCAGAGTATTCAAATTCTCAGAATGTGCATCAGTTTTCTCTATAAAATTAATTTTATACTTTTTACCTCCTTCTTTTTTCCAAAATATTTCTGGGTTTTTTGCTGTTACAGAATGGGTAGGGATAATCTTTCTTTAGGATTTTAGACATTACAGCTTGGAAAGTTTAGAAGGATTTGAAGGCAAGATTTATAGACCCACGATTTTAGAAGATTCAAGAAATATGTGACAAAGTGAAAAATGTGTCCATGGTATCAACATGTAATGGATGTATTTTACAGAAATTTTGCAATGAATTTCTTAATTTTTGAAGAACATCTGGAAGAACAATGAAAACATAATATTTGAATGTATGACTTCTGATACTAGAATCTTAACATGTTTATCTTCTCTTTATTTTCTCTACAGAAGAATTTTCACTAGACAGAAGCATGGAAAATATCAAAAATACTTCTGATGTTATCACACGGGCAGGCATTATAGAAAGGGCTTTTTTTATTAATAAAGAAATTGGAAACTTACAATTTAAAAGATTCATCTAATATTTCTTAATGCATCATACACATAAGTTTTGCCATTTCTAGATTTTGTTGTTCAATGTGTCGCTAAATTCTTGAAATTCTGCCACATCAGCTCTGTAACTGGCCTTTACTTTATATATTTCATATTGCTTCTGAATGTTCATATTACTAAAGAAATAAAATTAGCCTTTTTTTCTGTACATTCTAAATGCATTTAGTGTTTTTTAGAATAACAGATCCTTAATGAAATCCAAAAATTCTAAAATGAAAAGGAAACGTGTTAAAGAAAGAAGCTGAGTACGTAAAGGAAATTATTCTTCAAAGATATGTGCAGTTATTATTATGTAAATTACCCAATTGTTTATGATTTCAACCTTTACTATAATTTCTCATTTCTATTTCCTCATATGATAGAGTTATTGAGCCAGATTAAATGACAATTAAATTGTATAATCTTTGACCACTAGTCCACATTATTAGTTTGAATTTTACTGTTCTTGTTTAATTATGTCACTGTGAGCTGTAATTGATTTTGTTAGCATCATCAGAACATGCCTTTATGTTCTAAGTTCTTTTTAAATAAGAGGCTTGTTTAAACCTTTGTCTAACATTGTAGTTAATTTCAGACATAGCGATAATATGTTTCACGTCTATCGGGGGTTTTGGACTATTTAACTTTTACCAGATCAGTTAAACCCTAAGAGGTACATTATAGAGAGTTTGACAAGTTAGGAGATGAAGCACGCAGAAACTAGTGAGAGCATTGGTTTGCATATTGAGACAAATCTCTAATTGTTAGAAAAGATGCTTAAAAGAGAAGGAAATCGATATAAACGTTCAAATATGACCAACTATCATAAGTGTAAAATATTTAATGCTACTTGATAAATTGCATAGTTTATTTTACTCTCAAACTTAACAATTATGTTAATTCATGTTTAGTAATAATGCATACTACTTAGGGATCTATTTTATTTTTAGGATGGTATTACAAAAGTGAAATTCAGGCATAGATAATATCTTCGATTTAATTTATTCAGTTTCGTTTGCGCATAGGTCCTTAATTTTTTTCCTTAATGGTCCTTAAAAGTACTTAATTTCCATGTGCAGAAATACGAACCCTGTAAAAGTTTTACCATTTGTTGGCTGGTACTTAAATTCATTGCTTGTACCGATGACCCAAGCCTGATCATATGGACTGGCATGCAAGCATACAAAGTCGTTAATTTTTTCATTTAACTGACATTGGAAATTATTCATTATATTTCGTCTTCTTTCAGTAGCAATCACATATATAAATACAATAGATGTGTTTCTAATGTTGTTTATATTTTAAATTGTCATTTCCTGAAAAGTGATGATTAATGTCCATTTTCCCATTTAGCATCTTTTACAGATCTGTCAATGTGCTTTTATATATGCATTACATATATACTTTTGTCCTTGTTCCAGTGTTAGTTTCAAACTTGAGTTGGAATATATTGACACCTGAAATGTTTTTGAGTGCCCTTAATAAGCACTATATTGCAATCCACTGCCCAATAAATTTACATTTTATCAGAATCTTTAAGCACTGTATTGAATCAAATACATGAACTGAAATATATTGTCAGACATCATAAAATTGCTTCAGGTTCTGCCAGTTTATGACCACTGCCCTGATGCATCTTTATGAACAAAAACTAGTATGATACCTTGTCTGATTTTGGAAAATTATGGTAATTAAAAATTAAGTATTAAATGCATTTCTTTTTCAATAGCTGATTTGCTAGTGTTCGTTCCTTTGCATATGCCTAAAGGTGACTGTTCAAAGACCTGAATTAAATGTGCAGAGAATAGATGGAAAATGCAGCAAATAGAATAAATAGGAAATGATTTTGAGAGTGTTTTGATGGATGTAAATATGTAGCAGATTAAAGCTGATTGTAAAAGGGGGTGGTATGGGAGAAAGACAATACATCTTTGCTCCAACATCTTGGCCTATAATGGGATCCTCTAAGATGGAATAATGAAATAAATTTTTAAGATATGCTTGAACTTTACGAGCTTTTATTTTATTGTTTTATGAATTTGAATTGTAATATCATTAAATTGCAAAGATCAGTTGTTTGTGTCCCCTTGACCCAAGTCCAGGTTCACACTGGAGAGTGATTCATGTCATCAGCTGATCAGGAGGGAACAATGCACCAGATACAACCAATCTAACATTGAGGAAAGACACAGTTACAGAGGTGGTGAAATAATGGCTTGGGCTGAGATCTCTTTCTGTGGTCACACTGACCTGCATATGTTGCATGAATGAACTGACCGTTGTGAGATATCAAGACATGATTCTTGATTAATATGTCCGCCTACATGCCACTGCTATTGGTCGTGGATTTCTTCTGATGGATATCAATGCACAACGACACCGAGATCAGGCTGCTGAAGAATATCTTGATAGTTACGGAATGGAGCGGATGGAATGGCCAGCTCAATCCCCAGACCTGAATCCAATAGAGCATCTTTGGGACTACCCTGGGAGATAGGTTGCGGCTTTAAGGCCTCCTCCAAGGTTGCTGGTTGAGCTTGAGCAAGGATTATTCTGTGTCTGGTTGTTGCTTCCCATTTCACTGAGCAACAATTTAATTGATAGCATGGAACGTCATTGCTGCCAATGTATTACAGCTAGGGGTGGACACATTCCTTATTAGAACCCATTTTTCCTAAAAAAACTGATATAAGATTGGTTTTTCTCTGCAACTTTTTGTTGTAATTCATGTTTATATTGATCTTTAAAAACATTCTATACTGCATTAAAGAACTTTTCAAGGAACATGTCCTGTAAATTTCTTGTTTCTATGTTGCTTCATTCTCAAATTAGACACAAAAAACATGCTGTTCCTTAACTTTTGGAGGACAGTGTATTTAGCATATTGGAAATCTCCATTTGAGACGCTTATTAAATTCTTTTTGATTTGACGAGTTTTTGTAATTGTTTTGTATGAATATCTGGGAGGAAATTCAAAAAAATGTATTGGCATTTACTAAATAAAGAAGCAAATAACATTTTAAGAACAAACTAAAGCAGCTTTCAAACCTATTTATGTTATCAGCTATTTATTTATTTTCACTTCAGATAATGCTTTTCTTTGAAAACAGGTATCTTTACTGATTTTGAAAATCAGAATAGAAGACAGTCACATGCATTTCTGTATTTTTAGCTTTCTAAGTTGCACAACCTTTTAGATGTTTCTCGGAAGAGCTTAATTTCAGGAGGGTTTTTTTTACTAAATTTGTAAAAATAATTATTGTAGTCTCAGTAGTTATAAACTTTCATTCTTTAAGATAATATTTAGATCATTAAAGAAAGTAAGAAAACAAAATATTTTAAATAATTAGGTAATGTACACTTAATAATAAGTCTTATGACCAGGTAAATCCAGTCCTGTGACTCAGGAGGTTAATGATCTTGCAGCCTGTTCGAAGAGAGATGTTTTCCTCGAAATGGCTTAGCCATAATCTGACTTAATACTGTTAGCATTTTTTGCATGACTGAGTTATTAGTTTTTGTGTAAAATGGATAATTGGGTAAGTATGAATAACTTGTTTGCACTTCAAATAAATACAGAATCTGTGTTAATGGCCCATCTCTCCCCTCTTTTTTTTCTGGGGTGGGGTGGGGGAATAATGGAAGATAGATGGGTGGAATATACGGAAAGTATTTGTTGTAACTTTCATAAGACTTGTTTAAAAAATGTTTTGTGACAAAAATTACGACAAAAGAGCAATTAGAAATTCTTTTTCAAATAGAAAGAGTCTGTCAGTGCAGTTTAAGCTAATTTATGAAATAATATGAAGCATTAAGAATTAAATTTTACTGCTCTAAATAAATGATAGTGACAATTAAACTATTTAAATTTTTGACTATATGCACTTCAGCATGTGTACTAACAAATGCTTCTCTTCTGTTTCAGGTGCTTCAAGATATGCGAAAGCGCCTTGATGATCCAAATATTATTTCTGGCGATGTTGCTTTAAATATGTTAATTTCCTTTAGGGAAATTCAGGTTAGTTTCTCTTATCGTATTATATGCTTTGTTAATATACTTTTTACTTGTCCTTAAATTGCTTTGTGTCAGATACCAGACATGTGTATAACTTAACAGCAATTGTCATGATTATTTTTTTGAAGGGGCTAATTATACTTTAACTTTTTGACTACTAGTGAGAGATATACATTCCATTCACATTTTAAAAATTACTTCGAAACTGATTGTAATATGACAATTCTAGAACAGGAACATTTGTCCATATTTCATCTCTAGTCATCTAGGTGGCGCTGCATGTTTTCCCACCGAAAGTCATTATTTACTGAAGACATTTGCTCTGTGCATGTATGTTTGATAATGTTGATCTATTGTAAGTATTGTAATTTTTTTCAGTAATGTTGATTAAATATTGTAAATATATAAATAATCAATATTTAAATTAATAAATAATAATAATCAAATTTAATACAAAAGAAGTAATTTTTTTTAGCTCACTTGTATTATTCATTGGGATTCATTTTCCCCATATACACATAGATTTATTTAAATATTTATCCCTTATAGGTTCTCTTATATTTTCAGTTCAAAATGGTAAAATGATTTCTTACTCAAGAGGATTCAATATTAGAATCAGATTCTGAGGAAATTGGCTTTGAAGACACTGATGATCCTGATTTCAAATTACTGAAAAATGATTTGTCTTCCAAACACACCAAGCAATATGAAGAATAGGCACTTCATTAAAATGATGTATTGAATTAAAAAGTCAGGTTGTTGAACCTGAGAGAATTATCTTGGATATGCTGCCTGTGCCTGTACCTCATGTTATCTGAAATCGTATTAACCCTTTATTCATTCCTCAATTTTCAGTTCTAGAAGAAGAGACCTTGATGTTTTCTTAATGTATATTGCTCAGCAAATGAACTGGATGTTTTTGAAAAGTTATTTCCTTTAAACTTTTGGATCAAACTTCTCAAAGCAGTAATCAGTGTATTAAAAATTTGAAACACAAATACAAAAGCAGCAGTTGTAAAGTCAGGTCCTAGGAAGATATTGATAGTGTTAGGTAGCAGTTTAGTTGTGCTGCAGCCGTTTGCCAAACATTTTGGACTATTGGTCATAACTAATTTCTGGGTAATATACCAATTAAGAATGCTATGCCCCATGATTAGTTCCATTTAATATCATTTAAAATATATTACACTGATCTCAAAAAGCTTTCAAAATCATCCAAGATGTATTTTGTTGATGAAGTCTATAAATAAACTTTCTAAAATGCAAGAAGCTTGTTTGAATTAGCTGATGAAAGTATGACAAAATTCAAAATATGTTTGTCTCTAAAACAGTATAACAGTATATGCTCCTCCTTTCATACCTTGTCAAACAAGGTATGAAAGAGTTGTAGTGGTTAAATGTCAAGACAAGTTATACATATGACTTGTATCTATGTAGGAGAAAAGAAACATATCAAGCAGAAGGGACTTTAGAGGAGATAGTTGTAAAAAAGCTGTATCAACCATAGGTGACAACTGTAAGGTACTTCAGTTAGGTGTGACAGATCTTTCACAACTGTTCAGTTTTTTGGCACATTAGATTTCTTTGCTGTCTACAGTGTTATCATATGCCACAGATGTCTTTGAGGTTCCATACAAAACCAGAGAAATGAGGAGATGCTCAGTTTTTATCATTCTTTGGTAGAACTTGTGTGCCAAATAAATGGATTCAAAAGAAGTTATTGTCCTAATTGCCATAACTCCACTGTTTTGAAGGTATAACACATGATGAAGGGTCAAGATTTCAACTACCTAAAAGGGATAGAAGTTTATATTAAAATGATGAGTGAGGTATATCTGTCAAATAAAAAAAATTCATTTTATAGCTGGGACCAGAAATCTACTAAATGGTGAAGGAAAATATTTTCCCACATCCTGACCTTAATTGTAAATTCATGGATTTTATTTTAAGAGATCAAGCATAAAAAGATGAATTTAAATATTTCTTATTCATTGGCTGAAAATATGAGGATCCTAGGAAAAATCATCACCACTATTGACAGTGTGGCTGTGGTCATCTACTGAATTGCAAAATATCTTACAAATGCAAGGATAGTTTTCCACCAGTTGGAAAACCATGATGCTACTGTGCTCATTACTCACAAATGAACAACAATAAGAAGACAAATATAATTTGTCCAATGTGTAATGTTAGGGTATGCAATGAATGCTTTACTCCATACTATATTGTGTAAATTTAATTCTCTCATATAATATTCCAGATTACTGAATATGTCATTCACTATGAATGGGACATATTCATTTTGTGATTTGCTTAAAACTGAAAAATGTTTGCCAGCCGTTGGTTTAAAAACCACTGGGAAAAAACATTCCATACGATAAATTTGTCTTATTTAGAATCTGTGCTCATGATTCTCTTAAAAAACAATGTGAAAAACACTTAAGAAAATTCTATACAATAAGTTTGTGTCTGAAATCTATGCTCTTTGTTTGCGTAAAAAAATGGGGTGAAAAAAACACTTTTAAAAATTCATAGTAAAAGGGTTAAAGTGAGCTCAGTATATCATACATAATTCTTATAAAGCTAAGCCATTTCTGTACACTTGATGCATTAGTTGTATTCTTAAAAAAATATGGGTGTAATTTGTTTTGTCACTGTCACTTTTGCAATAGATTGTTTGACCAATGCTATGATCATTCAGTGCTGTCTGTGCTTGTTAGATTACTTATAAAGTTTTTCATACAATTATTATTTTGCCTGCTTCCTTGTTCTGTTAAAGGAACTATGTTACTATATCATTTCTGAGCTTTGCCTTTTTTCCCCTTCAATGAAAAAATCCATAGACCGACATTAATTTAAGAAAGTAATTTATTACATTTTTTGCCTTAACTTGCATTACAGATTATTAACTCTATTTTCATCATAACATCAGGCAGTCCTGATATATTAAAAAATTGTTGTTAGCTGATGAGGTGATCCAAAAGCTGAATTAGTAATTCATTATAAACTTCTGCTCATCTGTAAATCTTGTCATAATTGTTTTATCTGTAATTCTGTATATTTGGTTTTTATTTTTTTCCCCCAAGTGGAAAGCATAAAAGAGGAGGAATGCTTCAGGATGGAGAGCATGTTTCCTAATCTGTATCTTGTAAATTTGTATAAACCTTTCCATTTGTTACATGGCTGTTATCTTTACATCCAATTTAGTAGCTTGAGAAATTGTAATACCTCTGAAGTAGTAATTTGCATTCCTTCTTTTTAAAAACCATTGGGAAAAATCATTCCATACGATAAATTTGTCTTATGTAGAATCTGTGCTCATGATTCTCATAAAAACCTTATATGAAGTAAATTATTATATTCTTTATATGAAGTAAAAAGGTGGTATTGTAATCGCTAAAAAAATTCAGGTATCATATTTCAACGAAAATATCCATTATGAACGCTATTGAATGCAATTTAATGATGTTTTTGTGTGAAGTCTGTATTTAAGGACAGAATAAAGGACTCCTCAAATGGAATTATAAAACTGATTTAAAACGGATTTGGAAGAGATTTTTTTCATCGTGTCTGCACATACCTACATATGTATGTATGTATGTACCTCGTATAACTCAAAAATAAATTGCATCAGAATGTTAAAATTTTGTTTGTGGGTCTGCTATAACATGCGGATGTGCACCTCCCGTTTTGGTTGCAATTGGCCGCACCAAAAGTATATAAATATATGTATATATATATCCACTCTGTTATTAGCTCAGTGGGCTCAGTTTCTTTATTCTCATATTTTTGTAAATGTGCATTTTTTGCTTTAAAAATGATTGAATTGTGTTATCTTCCAATTAAGTTTTTATGCCTTTAGTTAACCTGTGTGTTTTAGTTGTATAATTATCAACAAGTTTTTTAATCAACAATTTAAAAGTTCAACAATTTAAAATTAAAATTTTAACATATTTGTTTACATTTGAAACTTAACAGAATAGTGGATTTATTCCCAATCTAGAGAAACTAAGCTTCGCAACAACAAAGCAATGTCTTCTTTTATTATTGCGAATTAAATTATGCTTAATCCATTCTGGAATTATCATTTAGCATAGTGTTCACAACAAATTAAATCAGTTTCTACACCTTCGGTATCTTTTTTTCAGTGAAAATGGATGGTTGTACTCAATGCAGCTGCACACAGAATGTTTCAAGAAAAGGGTTACATCATTTGGGATACAAATGTACTTCCGACCCAAATGAATTTGCAGAATAAGGAGTCAGACGTTTTCTCTTTCTGTAGTCATTTGAAGCTGTGATTTTGAAGTGAACTTCAAAACCATTTGTAAATCTCATTTGCTTTAGCTGAAATGCAGTTGATCTATTCTGTTTAGTAGTAAATATGGCTCCCTCCAAACAAAACAAACTTAGTGCTGGTTTCAAATGCAGTCATTCAGTTTGCGAAAGGAAATAGGAATAGTGCTGCATCAAGGATGTTTGATATTTGTAGTGAAAGACAAATGATATCACAGTAATTATGCCATTTAATGATTTGCAGAAAAGGTTAATAAAATGGCCTATCCTAAAAGAGTGTTGCCAGCTGGGTCCTAGAAAATTACCAAAATCACTAGTAACAAAATTTAGATACATATAGAAATCAAATTTTTTTTTTTTTATGCTCATCTTTTCCTTATTTTTAAACCTGTCATCTTAATAGCCAACATCTAACCCACACCCATAAATTTCAATATCATTTTTCAAAGTGTGCGTAATATGCCAAAATATACAGTAGATCTAATGACTAGTAAAAATAGCAGTTTTTTCAAGTCGTACATTGGTTTGTCTCCATCTGTTTAGCTTACCAACTAGTAACTGACTACAGGAAAGTATAAATAGCGACTCATTACGAAAAAATGCACACACAAATGTTCTACCAGCTGTTGGCTGGCGAATAAGTTTATTGATTCTACAGCCATCCCACCTTAGCCCAGTTATGTGGCCTGACATGCAAGCATATGAAGTTTATATAATTTTATCATTTAACTGAAGTCATTAATCTGCTCATTCTGTTTCTTTTTCATTCAATACCAATCACGTATATATACACAATCCGTATGTTTCTAGTGTGTTTTATTTTCTAAATTGCCATTTCCTGTGCAGTGATTAATGTCCTTTCTGCCCCTTAGCTTCTTTTGTGGGTCTTTTCAGACCACTGTTTTATACATTACATATTACTTCTGGCTGTGTGCCAACGCTAGCTTCAAACTCAGTTGGAAAGTAATGATTGCCATATCTTTGCTAATGCTTTTCTATCTTCTAAATAATTACTATATTGCAATTCACTGCATAATGAATTTATACTATATCGAAATCAATAAGTGATGTATTAAAACAAATGTGTAACTGTAATATAATTGGCATGCTACATAAAACTGCTTAGGGTGCGGCTTGCAGCTGTATTCAGAATCAATAAACTGTATCTTAATTTTTAATTATAAGTCACTATTGATTAAACTACCTGTATCTGCTGCATAGTTTTGCTGATACTAGTAAGTACTGTTTTAACCATCGCAAAAGTTTCTTTTGTTGTCATTCTTGATTCCCAAGTCTGTTCAAAATTTCAACTCTTCTAGAAATTGCATATAGAATATTAGTATTGAAATGTTATTAAAAACTGCTCATTTATTCTGAATATCTGTGAATTGTGTGCAAAAACTGTTTTATTCAATTTACTACATGCTTATGAACATTTTACAAAATAGATTTTTTTTTTAATCTAAAGATACCCTATAAATGTTCGATTTTTGTATTTACAAAACCTGTCTACATCTAGTATGAACATTTCTTCCATTGAATTATGTACAGTATTTTGAGAAACTTCATAATGGAAAAGTAAATGTCTATGATTAAAAAAAAAAAGCAGATGCAAATGGTTTTTCGCAGTATTTAAAATATGTATTGATAATATACGCAGTTTTATAATCTGTTCAGTAATATTGTTGTTAGGTAATTATGGTATGTGATTTCAAACTAGGCAAAATAAAACTCAAGGTTAACTACTTCTTGAAAGAGCAAATATATTCATTCGCCTACTCAAAATACATTTGCTCCTTAAAGAAGAAACAGCCAGCCATATATTTATGTTAGTTTTATTGAATACTCTTCCTTAAAATGTGTAGTGCTTTTTTAATAAAACAAAGTCAGTCTGAAGTAGTATTTTGCCTAATTTTAAAGTAAAGATTAGTGATGTGTGTGATTTAGCCATTGACAAAATTGAATTTTCTAAAAATAATACATGTATTTCCCATTAAATTAAAAAGACAAGTAGAAAAGTTTATTTTGACAGAATAACTTTTGTGTTGTGTCAAAAACTTACTTGTAAGAGTTTTTACCATTTCAGCTAATACTTTTTAAGGAATTTAACTGATTATCTATTGTTTTTCAGGATTATGATTCAATGGTCAAACTGGTAGATGATTTAATGACTATTCCAAATTTAAAATTTACTTTTACTTGGCCTATTCAACATCTGTATGCATTTGCTTTAAACAGGTTTGTTTAATTTACATTTTCTAATAATGATTTTTGTTTACTTTCAGTTAATTTTCTTTATTTTTTTTTTAGTTTAAGTTTGTGTAACCTAAAAAATGAGTAAATAAAATTGATGTTATATTAATATGATAAACATGTAAACTATGATATAAACATATATTATTTTTTTTTTGCATTTGTTTTTCAGTTGGTTAGGTTAAAACATTTCTGTCAGTTTGATTGTTTCAGGCGCTGTACAGGGCATGTAAAATTCCAGTTAGCCTACAGAAATCAACATTTTTCATAATGGAGTGAAATTTGAGAAGACTATTAATATAGATAGATGTATTACTCAATTCTATGTAGCAGATGGACAGTAAAGTCATGAAGAAAACATATTCACATTGTAGTTTAAAGGGCAAATTAAATAATGCTGTTTTGCATTGGTTAACCAGTTAAAACAGTTATTTGATGCAGTCAATGTGATTTCCACTCTCTAAATTATGAACTGTTGGCTATGTCTTTCCATGGAGGTGATGAGATTATCAATAATTTTTTTATGAATAAACTGGCTTGCTTTTAAAATGTGCAGTCTAAGATCTTTATCCAAATTAGTGCAATTATTTATAACGGTATCTCCTCAGAACCAGAGTCCTGTCAGATATTGCTCAGTGGCACATACAGACTGCTTTTGCAAAGCTGTAGAGAAAACATTTTAACATCCATTTGCATTATTGCTTTACCAAGTGTCATTCTCCCTGACACAATAAATTCAAATTGAAAATTCTGTTGAAATTTAAAAGTCTTCAAATTCATTTTTCTGTGAAAATACTATAAAACTGTGCCAATTTTTTCCCAAAAATACCTAAAAAATTTCACTGTCCTTTAAAATCTTTGTTTGAATATAATCATAATCAATATTTTGCAGTCCTTATCTTGAAAGTTTTCCATAAATATTGATGTTGCCAATATAAAAACCAAAATTTTCTTTTACAGATTTATGAAATTTGAATTAATTTTTTTAAATAATCCACATTTTCTTAATTGTAAAGCAATGCAAAATGGAATTTAAATTTTAATACATAGTAAGTAAAAAAATTCAGTACAATAGAAATATACATTTTGAGGGAAATTTAGCAAATCCTCTACAATGCAAATCAGCATGACAACTTGCTGATGGCTGTGGGATGGTCAAATAAAATTACACATAGAAGCTTTTATTCCTTAACAGAGGTAACTGGCTTCCAGTATTGTATAATTATCAAAGTTTACATTTATAACTTATGGCCATAAAAATTTCAAACTAGTTTAATTAATATGGAAAAAATATACAAAAATTAAAGATACATTAAATTTTACACTGCCCTACAGTAATAATATGGATCTTGTAATTTTGAGAATATAAAATAAGAAAATAAATTTCGTAATTATATCTGTTTAGAGAAGGCTTTTAAAACTTTTCAATTGTAAAAATTTGAAACACATCCTTAGCATTACAAAATTGCAAAAAATTTCAAAATGTTATAATATAATTAAATTTTCATTTGAAACATCATAGGAAATAATATACTATATTACAGAATTTTCTAACTGACTTTTGTACAAACTGGGATACCCCACAGCTTTCTCCTAGTACACACATATCCAACTATTTGGGCAGTTACTTGGAAAGGCCTCCTTTCCTTTTATATAAGGTAACTGGCCTTATAAAAGTCAAACTGCATTATAACACTCTATTTATAAAAAAATTAACCACTCCATTATATTAAAAAAATATTATATACAAAAAACATAAAAGTGGGAGCTTTCAAAGTTTATCTGACGATCTGTAAATTTTAAAATCAGTTAATTCCATACTACTTACACTATTAATTCAGTTTTTTGAATAACTCATATTTTCATATGTTATTACACTAATCTGTACCAAAGTGTTTAATACTATCTACAATAATACTCAAAAACACCATTTGTTCTACACTAATTTTTCAAAATTATTTCATTCACTTAAAAATTCTTATCGACAATTCAAAGTTTTCAACATAAATTCAGATATATAATTACCTACCTTAATATCCTTCCCTAAATATAATTTAAATTGCTTAAAATTTGTTATTTAATTTGCTCACACATACTTATGAAAAAATAATGAACAAGAATCTCGCATTTTCGCAAAACAGCACAGTCAAATTGCAGAAATTTTTAATTTTCTGTTGCACATACTTGAAGCAAAGCACAGATCAATGATCTTGAAGTAACTGTAATGCTAAATCTCCTTAAGTGGTAATTCAGTGATGATTTATAGCATTTCCCTGCCCCTAAATACAGATTCAAAAAGAATATACACATTACAAAGTGTTATTTGTCTAAACTATCGATCACTGTGCCACAGCTCGGCTATTAGCGAAACGAATACATAGTCTAGTTTATATTAATATATAGCCACTAGATGTCAGTTGTCTTCTGTTTTGCATGGTAACTGTCACATGTTTGCAAAAAGTGATTACAATGCAAAGGCGTTTCAAGTTTAGGTACCAAAGTGATCCTCTGAATGAGTGGAACATTCATAGATGGTATTGACAGTTTGTAAATACAGGATGTGTATGTAAATGAAAGAGTTCTGGCCGTCCTCGTGTTTCCGACAAAAATGTTGCACGAATTCAAACTGCTTTCCAACGTAGTCCTTCAAAATCAACTCGCCGTGCCATTCGGGAGTTACAACTGCCTACAACAACAATTTGGCATGTTTTGAGACATCAGTGGGTTATGAAGCCATACAAGTTACATTTGTTACAGGCTCTGCATCTTGACAAACGCAAACGTGTGGCATTTTGTAATGAGATTATTGATAACACTTATGCACAACGCATCGTGTTCAGTGATGAAGCAACTTTTCATGTTAGTGGTCATGTAAACAAACACAACATTCGAATTTGGGGCCTACAGAACCCACATATAGCCATTGAACATGTACGAGATTCCTCAAAATCAATGTGTTTCGTGCGATATCCAATTATCTGTTTATGGCCCATTCTTCTTTGAGAAAAAAAGGTTAACGGTCAGCAGTATCTCGCTATGTTACAAAACTGGTTGTTTCCAAGGCTGCACGTAGACAACTTCATTTTTCAACAAGATGGGGCAAGCACTCATTAATGTTGCCAAGTGCATGATTTTCTGAATGAAACGCTACCGAACCAGTGGATTGGCCGTTGACCTCCACGGTCAGTGGATTTGACACCCTGTGACTTCTTCCTGTGGGGTTTCATTAAATACAGCCTTTATGCCACCACTCCCACAGAACCTGCAAGAGAAGAAGAACCGTATCTGTACTGTCATAATATCAGGACATGCTTGCCCGACTATGTGAGGAATTTGAGTATCGGTGTGCTATTGTTCGTGTTGCTGATGGAGGACATATTGAACATCTGTAACATCTGTAATCTGAACTTGAGAGGTTCGTACATATGTGTGTAAAGTTTCATATTCATATGTCATACAGTTTAATAAATATATGCATTCGAAATACGCATATTCTTTTTGAAACACGCTGTACTATAGCGATGGCCAAAGCAAAATCAGTATTCCTTTTCACTAGGCATTCATTCGAATTTCTGGATTTATCTGCAATTGATTTTTTGAGACAGTTGCAAAACACCACAGCAGAAGGATAATGGTTATTTCATAGACACTGAATGACATTTGACGATTCACTTTTTTCACATTGCCTTTGAATTTATCACAAAACGATGATTTGAAGAGCTGGATAAATTTTCCATTGAGGTCTCAGGCTGCAGGAAACTATCCTATTGGACTAATTGACATAATAAAATTAAGGAAAACACCGGAGCAGTGTTGATGAGTACTTAGATCCAGATTGAAGAATTCTGATTGCGTAGTATGCTAATATGTTGATTTCGTAATATCTAAAGAACTTGGTAGAGGCGGTTTTAATTCCATTTTTATTTTCCAGTTGACGTTTGTGGCCACAATCACTTGGCACCCTAGTCGTGCTTTTTCACAGAATATTTACATTTTTGATATTATTGCAATAGCAAACAAGACAGCAAAATTACATCCTAATGGGGCAGAGAGCGAAGCTGAAAGTGCTTAGTTATGCACACGAAGAGAAAGGTTTTGGTTTGAGTCATCAGTTTCAGTTTCCAATTATTATGTCATCCCGTGTGTTGCGCAGGCTATGCAAAAAGGAATGATCTAGAAATGTCACAATTGGGAGAAGTTATTACGATTTTTAGAAGAAAGAGTTTATTAAAGTTTTACCATTAGTTTAAATTATAATTTTGATTCGCATATTTTTTTTAATCTTACATATATCTATATATATAGTTGCAAATTGTACTAAATAAGATCATTAAATGGGCAAATAGTCAAGTATTCAAATCCTTAAACTGTAAGGCTGTGTACAATTCTGATAAAAGAGGAAACTGGAACTTGATTGACAAATCTATCTTGAGAGCTGTTTAATCTTGGTCTTGATCAGAGACATGCGACAAATTTCTTGGCGTGATAGTCTTAGTGCTCAGAATACTTATGTTCTATGAATTTAGAGCTCAATACAAAATTTCTTTGCTGAAACATTATCAAAATTATTGCCATCTGTGCAGGTATGTAAAGAAAGGGTATGAAGCAGCATAAACGTTCTTTAAAATTAAGTGCATCTTTTAAGCATGATCTGTGATGTATATTTCGACTCGGTTTAGTCGTTCCCGAAGCTCAGCACACTCTAAGACAAAACTCGACGATGCGCTAACTCACGATACACTAAAGACTCTCTCGATGCATTCGATGACCAACTCTGCGTTAGACTTCGAGACACTCGCTCAATGACTGACTGTCAGATCGCTAGACGAGGCATTAACTGACTGCGGACCAGAAGGGTTTATATAGCTTTCGTCTTATGTTCATTCTGTGGGAACATTCTGCGCTAAACCGGTAAGAATTTGTTCCAAAAGGTTCTCCATCTGTGCATGGCATATCGCTAATTTTGTCGCCAAATGGGCAATTTCTCACCAAATGTGGCAGCCCCACCTTCCCTTGCCATTTTATGGCAACCCTAAACCTTCTTTGCGGGGAAGCTATCTCACTGCGTCTGTACATTTCGTAACAATGTGTATACATTTTATAACATCACTTCAGGGTCAATCTATTCCTTTTTTTGTCAACGTGTATTTATATCTAGTGACAAAAAAAGGTGGGAACAGCTATAGAATAACTGGGAGAAAGTGAACTACAAAAATGCAAGCAAATGCACACCATGCACAGGTTTCTCATTGATGAGTATTTTTTAATATTTTTATTTGATTTTGTGTAATTCCATCTTCACGCCTTTACTTTAACAAACAGCTAAAATTTCAGTTTTTTATTATTTTGTTTTTTTGTCTAACTTTCAAAATTTAAAAATTATGCTTTCAAGTTTTGATGCCAAGTGTAGTATACAAAAAGTGGGACTTTGCAAAATATACTTTAAAAGGGAGCAGTGAATCGAAAATGTTTGGGAAAATATGTATTGAGCTATGGCAAAGCACAAAAAGGTTTGAGGGAAGAGGTGCCTTCATGGAGGACTTTTTGAGGAAAACTGGATTGTACATATGTTGGCACATGAGAAAAATCATGAAAACTTTTCAACCTATTCACCAGGATATGAACCTGGGTTGAACTAATAGTATTCAGTTGTTCTTACTTCTTGCCTGCTTCTTGGACCCCCTATTTTATCTAAAGCAACTTGAATTGTGCTTACTGCAGCTGTAAACCTTAAGTTTTTTAAACTTTGCCTATAATAAATAAATAAATAAAATTTTTAATTTTTTTATTTATTTGTTTTAAATTTATCTACCAACTATTCTCCATTTCATCAACTATGTACTGAATACACAGGACTAGATAACTTATATGAAGTGTGCGTCTGCTGCATTACTAGCTCCACTTTATAATACAAATTCTGATCATATGAGATGACAAGCATAGCACTTAATGTGCTAAACATTGGCAATATTAAATGTGAAAATCATGCAAAAAATGATGAAAAATTCATTAAAATTTATTGTTTATAATAATGTACACGAATTAATTTGTATTGTTTAATGCTGTTATTTCCAGACGCAACAAGGAAGGTGACAGAGAGAAAGCTTTGCAAGTAGTAACTACTGCATTGGAAAAAAAGGAAAATCAAGTTCCTGATATGATCTGCCTTTGTGGTCGAATTTATAAAGATAAATTTGTAGAATCTCAGCATAAAGATCAGGATAGTTTGCAAAATGCCATTAAATGGTAGGCTCACATCCTATTTAGTACTGGTATTTAATTTTTTATTAAGCTTATGTGTTTAGTTGTGTTTTTATTCATCTTATTCTTAATTGTGAAATATTCTTTTCAATTCATGCTGCTGCTTACTATTCAGTAAGTAAAAATCCTTGCAGAACAGCTTGTTTTTTAATCACATTGTATGATCTGATCATAAAGAAGAACCTGTGTGAAATATTTGAATTATAATGTGAAAAGTAATTTAAAAGTTTGTTGCTTTATTTGTTTGTTGCTTTTTCTTAAAAGTAGTCAGAAATATATTTTTTAAGTAAGTTCACCGTAAAAAATTTCTGTGTGGTATCATATGATAAAATAATATCTCTATTATAGAATGTAATTAAATTTAGTTAAAGTTTCTCATTTGTGGAAGATTCAGGTTTTTCTTTCTTTCTTTTTTTTTTTTTTTTTTTATTTTTATTTTTATTTTATTTAAAGAACCTTTATTTTATGTTTCTGCTTATAGTAGAGTTGGAAATTTCATGATTATAAATTTGTTTTTGATTTGTTAGATGTGAGATGTAAATTATTTTGTAGGTATCGTAAAGGATTTGAGGTCCAACCTAATGAATATGCAGGAATAAATCTTGCTACTCTGTTAGTTATAGCTGGAAATGACTTTTCTAAGTCATCGGAACTGCAACATATTGGTCGTGTTCTCAATAATTTAATTGGTCGCAAAGGCAGCCTCAATTCTCTTAAGGACTATTGGGATGTGGCAACCTTTTTTGAAATTAGTGTACTTGCTGAAGATTATTCCAAAGCTATTGAAGCATCTAAATGTATGTTTGACTTAAAACCCCCAAACTGGTATGTGCTTTTATTATCTTTACATTTAGAATTGGTCTTCTTAATTTCTGAAAAGGATTTTGTATCTTTTCTTAATTGTAAAATTTACTTTTCTTTGAATAACATAATGTAACAAAGTTTTCTTCTGTAACAGTAAATTCGTGTACAGTACTAACTGCTTTTTAAACTCATTGGCTAATAAGATAGCCACTTATTACCTTCCAATTTTAGGAACCAAAACAAATACTTTCTAATTAATAGAAAAAACTTTGTTTATTAAGTTCAACAGCACTGCTTAGATTGTCTTAGTTTATTAGAGATAAATGGAAAATGTGCAATGCCCTTGCTGGGACTCAAACCTGGACCTGTCAAATTCCCGCCAAGTGTGCTACCATTACACATGAAAGCATGCTGAACATATACCTTCTATATCAGGTTGTTGGTAATGGTATGGTATCAACCTACAAACGTTGTTGGTAATTCATCCATTTAGCTTACCATGGACCATAGATTATTTATCATTCAGGTATGTAGTGCTTCAATAAAATGAGTTTGAATAAAATTTTATGCCTTCCATTTTTGGTACCCATGAGGCACAATTTTCAGAGCTCTTTGCACCATACCTCAGAGGGCCAGAATTTTCTTATCTTAAGGTTAACTAAAATAGTTCTGTAGGGGTATTATATATGAGTGAGTATTCCATCTCGAACACCGGCTGATAGGAGATGAAAGTGCAACTTCTGTATTCCACCTTTTAAGCTTTCCACGTTCAGTCTTCCCTTTGGAACGGTCTAATTTATGTACACAGAGTTCTAAAAAGGCTTATGTAAAGCTTTAGACCATTACACTGTCTTAACAATCTTTGGATAGAAAGGTAGTGGTAATGTAGGTTGAAGAAAAGAGCAAAGAAAGCATTGGTCATGATTGTAATTGTGAAGTGGAAAATTGACTAATCTGGCAAAATTCAGTCTGTCTCCTGGTTAAAAAACATTGGATTTGAAGCTGAATAAAGGAACAGAAGAAGCATGTCTTAAATATGTTGAAAATGGCCAAGTGAAAAAACTGAAGCATAAGGATAAATTTTTAAAAGATCTTGATATCTTTGGTATTTGCATTTAAAAAAATCTTCATTTTAATTGGGAAATTCCCAAATAGCTTAAGCAAATAATTATAATTAATTAACTAATAAGGAATTCAAATGTCTCAAGCAAGTGCTAAAGATGGAAAATTGAAAGACATTGTTGCTATTTCTAGAGCTCTTTTTCACTATAAAAGCTGTGGAAATCACATAACTCATGCTATCAACCCATCTGTGTGTAACATGCTATGGGTCAGCCTACTAGTGTTCACTCCACCATTGGTGGATTTAAAAGTAAATAATAAAAGCTTTGAAGATAGTTTGTACTAAGTTCTGATGTTAGCTTTTAGAAGTTTAACTCTAGTTGCTGGGATTTCTGAAACATAAATTAGAACAGCTAGAATGGTTAAGGAATTTTGTATAGAAAATTTGTTCAAAATCATATCCAGAAAAGAGACATTTTGAATAATATACCTTTTGATAATTAAAGTACTTAAATGTAGAGACTGGAACTCGGGGAACACATTACTTTTAACACCATTCAGTAAAAGAAATTATAAGCATTTGTTTAATGAGATAACTATTTACAAACATGACTACTAGTAACACTGCAGACTTGTTACAGTCATTACCAGTAGGGGGGAAAAATCACAAATGGCAAAACTTGATTTTCCATGAAAAAATGTTTTTAAAACTCAAGTTTTTTTCCATGACAAAATGTTTTTAAAACTCAAGTTTTCTTCATTTTTGTGGAAAAAATATAAGGGGCGTTTTAAGTTGATAATTTGGAATACTTTGTCATAGATTTTCAATGTTGTGCAGGATGCTATTAAATGAGCAAAATCTAACATGTGTTACTTTTAAATATCTACCTTTGTATATTTACCTGCATTATGACTTTAAAGAAATCTTAGCAGAATTTCTTTTCTGGACATATGCTTTAATGAATTTTCATTTCTGATTTTGCTATTAGCATTTTCTAATTTAAGAAATATTTTTGTAATTTATGTCATATGCATATATCAAAGCTATGAATATGATAAATGTCTTGTAGGTACTTAAAATCAACGATTGGAAACATTGAGCTTATAAATAGATTTCGCAGAAAACCAGAACATATTGAATTAACAGCAGAAGAAAAGGTATGTTTAATTATGTAACCACTGTGTCAGATGTGGTAAACTAATCTTTTAATAATGTTACATTTTAAAGTGAAGTAGTTTTTCGGTTAATCTTTTAATATGTGTTTAATTAAAAGGTAATTAATATATGGAGCATGAGTTCCTTTTTGTTATTTACTGCAAAATATAAGCTACCTTGTGCATTGTGCATCAAAACTTATTTCAGAAATGTCGACTGATATTAAAAATTGTTACAAATAATAATTTTATGGCTGTAATCTAAATTAATTTCATGTTTTATTGCACAGATGTTTCCTATATACGTCATGCTATCTTTTATGTACTCAGTTATAGTAGCTTTAGAAATCCTTTTCAACCTTTTATTTGCTGCATTTTACCAAAGCAGCATGACGTCATAATGATGTCGCAACCTTGTCTCACATAATGTCGCAACCTTGTCTCACATTCGCATTATGTCATTTTTAAGATGCTGAGATGTGTGCAAAATTTCTCACTTTTGTGGCCATTGAAAAGACAGCGATTTCATATCTTTTTTTCTTTTGTGCAAAAACATCTTTTTATGAAAAACGGCACTTTCGCATCTTTTACTACATTCTTGTCGCAAAAATGTAGGATGTTAGATTGTAGCAGTGTTATGTTCCATACACTGTATTCATACCTTCTCGTCTTCAAAATCTATTTTTTGTGACTATTATGCTTTATTTTGATGTCTTTTAGTAAATATAATACTGATTACTCCTTAGATGTAAATATTTAAACTCTGAAAGACAGCTCAACTACATCTCTGTCAGCTTTCTGAAATGTTCTATGGGAAAGACTAAGCATTAGTTTGAAACTAAGGGAGCATTATTATGTGAAATATATTAATCATGGATTTATTAATGGAAGAGAAAACAAAAACTGTAAACAAAAAATCGTAATAAAAATATATTTGCACAATATTAAATTACTTACATAAACTGACACATTTCTGCAACCACTGCTGTGGGAGATGTTCATCATGGTTGAAGTTACATGAAATTTACAGCAGAACTTTTTATATACATTGATTTTTTTTGAAAAAAATATAACTTCATTTTTCTTTTAAGGAGGGCGAGTAGATATTGTCGTGCATTTTCAACTGGTAATACTAATTTCATTTTTCCAAATCTGGATATATTTTTATCTCTAGTTACTTTATTCCAGCTAATATCAATTTATTCTCAAGGTGAATATCAAAAGGTTCTCGAAAGGTACTTCATAGATATCACCCCACTAATAGTAAAGCCAGAGTTCTCATGTTATTAAGCAAGATAAATTTGTCAAAATATAGAGGATATGTTACAATATGTGTGAATTTTTGATACAGTGTTTATTAAGAAAGAAATAAATTTACTTATGTTATTAAACTTGCATGCATAAAAATAAATTTTGATTTACATATAGAAATGAATTTTATATTTTATTTAAATTTAGGAAATACTAATTTTAAGTTCTTTTGAAATTCATAAATGAATAATAAAATATTTTAAATTATATTATTTTTATTTTTAATATTAAGCTTTGCAATTTATAACAAAAGTAAAGTATTAAATAATAATTATTATATTAAATTTAATTTTACTTCATATTAATACATTTAGATGAAATAAGTTAATAAAAAAATTCTGATTTGAATCTTATTGGGAGTCCAAGTTCTTGAAAGGGCATAATTTGTCTGCAATTTATAATAATTAATGAAAAAGTAATGCTGATAAATTCTGGAAAAAACTTAGAATAATCACGTCTAAAAGCAATTACTTCATGACATTTCATCAGTGTCAACAAATTACTAATATGTGACAGGCTTTATGTCTTTGCTGCACAGCAAAGATGTCATAATAGCTACCATGACCCCTCTGAAACCTCAATTTGCAGTGTTTTTACTGTTGTCTTGTGTTACTTGGATACATTTGGAATTTTACACAGTTACTCCATCATTTCTCTCATTTCCCAACAAAAGTATTTTAATATGTATTAGTGATTTATAGTCTAGAATTATCATTCTTAAAGATTATGTAATTCTGAATATTGGATAAGCTCTGCACCTCAGCGTTCAGCTGAAGATGTGCTTCTTCGCTTATGTGGCATAGTAAAGCAAGGTAAATAGAAAAATTACATCACGATTTTGATGTGTCTTGACAGAAAAGTGGCTTTTGATAATGCTGGTTGGCAGGAATCATAAATGTAATGAGACATGCTGACCTAGACATATCTTTTACCTGATCAAGGATATTTTTGCATACTCGCACTGTAGAACTTTCTCAGGTGATATTACAAAAGAAATGATTTTGGAGAAGAGTGTCCTCAAGGATGAGTCTAAATCTTTATTATGGAATCTTATATTTAATGATCTTTTGTGTAGATTATCTGGTTTTTAAAACTGTTTTAAAATAGCTTTTGCAGATGATTTCCTTGTAAAAGTTTAGATGATACTTGCTCTTTGTCTCAAGATTTACTTAATGCTGTTTTTCAGTTGTCTAAACTTTATAAATTGAAATTCAACCCACTCAACAACAAAGCTGTAATGGTACATAAAAAGATAGTACTGATTGCAGAATATGTTTATCACTTGGTGATATTCCTATAGAAGTTACTCAAAATATTTAGGAGTTATCTTGGATAACAAATTTCAACAGAGGAACCATGTTTCCCATATCTCAACAAATGTGAAAAGGTACTGTCATGGTCATTTAAATTTTTTAAAATCGCTTATAGAGTCAAAACAGTTGTTTTTTAATTGATGTATAGGCGAGGAATAGTGCCGGTTATTTCCTGTTTATTATGACCTATATTTGATATTTGTAAGGTAGTTCTCTATAGAAGAAAGTAAACTGCTAGCTTAAGAAAATTTCAAAGCTCCCATTGCTTTTATTCCACCCAGTGATAGTGAAACTTAGAGTAATATTGTGATGAAGGAGAGTGTTTGCAAGCAATTCTCATCAATTTTTTTATAGCAATCTTCCAGTTTCTTCTTTGCTGTATTCTTTTAACAGAAACCCTATAATAGTTGTCTATTCTGATGCCATTCTTGAAGAGTACCAAGTAATTTGTTTTACTTATGCAAGTAAGATGAATGATAAGGTTGGCTCTGCTTTTGACATGAAAGAAACTTCAAACACTAGAGAATTAGTGATAAGTGATCTGTTTTTCATGTCCAGTTGCTGTATTTAAACCTGGTTGTGAAATAGATTCAAAGTTTTTATAGTGGTTTTCAGATCAATGGTGCATTTAAATATGTGGTGATTTTCTTCCTTTGCTATGATTACTACAGAAAATTAGTGTTTCAGAGAAACTTGCTATGAAAATTCAGGTTATTATTGAGACCTTAGGAGATCGTAATATTGACATTCATTTCGCTTTATGTTCTTGGACACTGGGGAAATTTTGGAAAAGGGGCTTATTCTCTAAGAAAGCTAGCCATGAAACTTCACACTGATTTAATTCTGCATGTTCCAATTTCTGGAAGGGCTTTTATAGAAATGATGCTATTTATATTTGGAACAGAGAATATCTTCCATCACTGAAAGCACAATGAGCCCAAAAGGTTTTTCACAGAATAAAAGTTGATAACTTTTCATTTTAAATTTCCTCAATTTTTGTCAGGATATGGCAATTTTAAGAGCTAGTTAAAGTGATTGGACTTGTTTCAAGTGCTTTGTGCAGCTTCTATAGTGACTATGAAGTTGTTAATCATATTCTTCTTGAGTAGTGTTCATCATACCCAGCAGAGGAAGATAATTCAATCCACTTGCACCTGTCTATATCTTGGAGAAAAATTTTGAGAGAGAATTTCTGGTTTGGGGAATATCGTTCTCAATTTAGAATATTGAGTTCTTTTTATTTTCTTTTATTTAAATTTTTTTTTTAATTTTCTCCCCCCTTTGCAGTTTTATTGTGCATTTGTTTATTTATTTTCTTAGTGCTATAACTTGCTTGTGTGAAATGTGGAACATGGAGGAATTGAAATTGGAGTTAAAAAGATAAAAGATTGTATAAAATTTGTCACAGACTATTTTCAGAGATAAATTAAATTCTTCATGTGAGGACTTACTTACTCTCGACTGTCTTTCCTTTCTGCAGCATTTCAGGCATTTTCAGTGTGATCAAGATGAGAAAATTAAAAGTTTGAATGCAAAGTTTGTAAAAACATTCCTGCTCTATGCTAGTGGCTCCTCTAGTCTATATGCAGTTCTAATTTTCAACAAATGGTCTCAGACTGCACATGTGAAGTCTGTTGCTTGTAAAGTAACTACCCCTGATCAAATGAGTGATTGCTATCCTCAACTAGTGGAAAATTAGGCAGGTTAAAAAATTAATTCTGCAGCAAAGCTAGACAGAATAAAATAATTGTTTATAATGTTGGATATTATCATTTTAATAGCTATGAACTGACATTCATGCACAAATGTGCAGAAATTGCCAATTACATTTCTTTGGACATTAATCAATTACAAAAAATATTGAGAGAATCATGGTTATAGATAAATTTGTATTATATTCAGTGTTAGTGCTAAGCTTTTTGCTGCAAAGTGTAATCTCTGCGAGTCCTAAATTCAGTTGCTTGATAATTCCCTAAATTAAAAAAAAAAAAAAAAAATTGCAGCCCAATGTAGCTGCACATTTATGTTAGCTCTGGTGCTAGCCTTATTATATTTGATATTTGTTATGCAAGATAAATGTTATATTTTTTCAGAGTTGACCAAATGAGTTTAAGTGGTATGTATTGCCACTGTGCTTGTACTTGGAATGGCAAAGTTCCATCTTAAGACAAAAGCTTCGTAAACTACATGAATTCTAGATGTCTAACTTGCCAAATAAAGTGCAGTGTTCACTACTCGTCTGCTTAAGGCAACAAAGTCTATTGGAAGTCCTTGTATCAGTTATATGTAGACCAAGTGAAACATACCTTGTAATACTGCTTAGAAGTATTATTGCCATTTTTATTGCACTTCTTTAAGTATTAAATTTTATTATACTGC